CGGCGGCGGCTGCTGCTCGCTGGTGGTGCTCGAGCGCCTCTTGTGGGTGCCGCACTGCGGTTTGATACGTATACGGCTGGCTGAGAGATCCCCGTTGACAACAACAAGCCCCTCTTGCAAGATGGCCGTGTATCTCTAGCGCCTGATCAGCGAGCGAGCTGGCCGATTGTTCCAACTTTGGCCGTGCGGCTTCTCTCCTCCCCCACCTGGCTCGGCCGGGGCCCCGCCTGGCCCGACCGCAGGGCCCCGACGAGAGGCCCCAATAAGGCCCCACAAGCGCCGCCGCGCTATGGCAGCGAAGCCTCACAAAAGTGTTTCAGCGCCGTGTGCGGCTGCGCGGCCAGGCCCGGCGTCTCTGACCACACTGTATGATACACCGCGCCAGCGGCAGAGTTTGCCCGCGACGTCATACGGTGTGCGATGTACTAAAGAAATTTTGAGTTGAATAAAGCTTTTGTACAGAAAGGCACAATAAAGCCCTAGGTGCTAGCATTCTTTGCAGAGGCACTAAAACCTTTAACACCTTTTTATAGTCGTGACTCATCAGCAACTTTGTGATTTTCCTGTGATAACATAGGGATCAAATATTATTCAACTTAAAGCGTTTAAATGTTAGTGCATTCAAATTTTAATTTTTGACACTACAGTGTAGTAATAAGTAGTATAAACCCTGTCAACAGGCATTTCTTTCGTTTTTTTTAAAATCACGTTTTCAATCTGCCGCCGTGTGCGAAAATGTAAGCGTCGTTGTGTGTACCTGCAACATGGGGAGGGCCGGGAGGATCCGCACTATCGTGTATTCTAAAAGAAGTCATCAGCCAAGCAGGTCAGGATGGAGCGGTGGGAAGGACGCAGGACCTCCCGCACCGGGCGGCACGTCCACCAAAGGGGGGACATCAGCGTGGAACGGATCAGGCCGTAACGAGACAAGATAGGGGGCGGTCCCCGTCGCCACGGTCCCCGCCGGTCCCCGCCGATCCCTGCCGCTGGGGCTCGGCCGGGCACGCCCACCGCCCGTCCATATCTCACTTACCACTCTCCATTTTATGAAGACGCGGGGGGCTGTCGATAAATAACGCGGCCTCCATGCAAAAAAGTATAGATCCGAGATCCGACCGCAGCCTATGTGTCGTTATAATAACGAAGGTGTGGGTTTCGTTTTATGTGTAAGAGATGAAATATGGATAATTTTCGAGGCAGTATTTCTGTCACTCGGCGGTTGGGGCTCGCCGCCGTCGTCGCGCCGTTCTTCTGTGAAAGTCGGACACGATTCCCCTGCTCCCTCCCTCTTTCCACCCCTTCTCTCGCTAAACGGCGTTCGATGCCTTCCCAGAAAGGGCGGCCGGGCAGAGGGTCGCTGGGGGCGCGCGCGAGGGGCCCAACAGCCGCGTGCAACCCTCGCTCTGCCGTTCCATGAATATGGGGCGTAAATGAGCCAGCCACGGACGGGCGGCCTGCTGGAAGGGCAAGCCGGGGCGCGACCCACGGGCCCCCGTGACCCACACGAGGGGCCAGCGGCAATTAGAAGACGCACAAGCTCCCGCCAAGCATGTTATTTCGCAAAAAAAAAAAAAAAAAGTAGCCTCCATCGTTTTAAATAGATTTTTGGAAACACTGTAAAAATATGGTTTATATGCCAGATTTCACAAAAATTTTATCTACATTTGAACGCAGTTTTTGCTGCCGGCGGACAGTACAGCTGATTTAGTTTTTGTATTTGCCTCACAATTTTTTTTCCTAGTCGTTTCCTGGGCTGCATATGCTGTGTAACCCTTTTAAAACTTTGCTGTGTATCCTCTTGTGCGCGAGCAGCAATGGGGCGTTACGTGTTGTGTCCACCAGTGAGCCGGCGTCCCAAAACATAATCCCCGGCGGATGGCGCGGGACGGCGGGGAGAGGCGGGGCGGGACCCGCCGCGCGACCACCCCGGCGCAGCAAGAGGCGCGCCGCGGCATACGGCCCCGTTGTTATTGGAGATAATCCGTAGAAAAGGTTGTCATTCTTCCGACTCGACTCCGACGGCGGCCCACAGAAGTCATCCGGCCCGGGGGACCCCGACCGGCCATCACGCGGAGAGGGGCGAGGGGAGGGAAAAAGGGGGGGGGGGGCGGGGCAGGCGAGGCGAATCGGGTATAAAGCGAGGGGATGAAGATGTGATGAAAGGTGGTCCTGTGTGAGTCCGAGCGACTGAGCTAGAGAGAGAGAGAGAGAGAGAGAGAGAGAGAGAGAGAGAGAGAGAGAAATCGTTGCAGCTGGTATTTTTGTGCGCGCTCGAGTGTGTGTGTGTGTGTGTGTGTGTGACTTTTATAGATTTTCCCCCCAGCGTATATGTAGAAAAATCACCTTACGTCAATAATTTACCTCGGTATGACATGATACCACACATCCCTCGGAATAATTTTGTTATGTGTGTGAATGACTGGTTATTGCTAACTGTTTTGCGTGCCGTCATGGTGGTAATGGTCGTATGTGTGCCCGGCCGGCGCCTTCCCCGAGGGCCGCCCAGCTCGGCCCGGGTCCCTGGCGCCACCAGCATGACTTCACGCAGGTGAGTTGGGTCCCTGGAGGGAAGGCCTGACCAGACCTCACAGCCAGCCAGCCGCCCCCCTCACCCTCGCTCGAATTTGAACCCCATGACGTACGGGCTTTTCTGTAATTTATGATTGTTATTTTCGGGAAATATGTCCGGTACCTCTGGGGGATCGCCGAGCTGATTGTTCCCGCGGCCCTCTTGCCTTTCCTTTGCGTCCAGTCGCTCACGCCCGACAACGCCCGACACACATCCGTTCCGTTGGCAACACTGTGTTCCACACAAACAAACGACGAGACGAGCGCTAGTAGTGAGAGGGAGAGAGAAAGGTGACTGATGGCCTCGCGCGCCACGACGGCAAAAGAATACATTACACATTACACGCCGTCTCTAAAGTGTAGCGCGCGTGCGTGCGCCTTCTCGAACACTAACAAACGTCCAAAGGGGCCGAGCGTGCCGCGCCACGTGTTGCCAGCCTGGCAAAAGTTGAAAGCGGAATAATAAATTCGCTGTGTAAACTAAAAGAAATCACTCAAATTTTAGGAGTAAAAATGTATATGAATTGCCGTCTTCCTGCCTAGTAGTATCTCTTTCTCATGCACAGCACGAGCGCAAGGGGCAAACAAGACGTTGCCTCATTAATTTCACATGAAACATCTTTGAATGCAATTAGAATAACTTTGGTGCGAGTGGTTGCGTCTGACACTCATCGATCAACATTTTTGTGTTTTGGACGTCGTGGTGCGCGGTTTTAATCGTCGCGTGAAGAGAACTCGTGCGCGCGCGGACGCTATGCCGCGTCGCCGGCCGCCTCTCGTCGCTTGTGAATGGCCCGCGAAAGCAGCTCGAAAGCAGCGCGTTATTCCTTGTAAGGCCGCTTGTCCCGTCTTAATTGGGGTTTAATTTTTGTCTTCCGTGTGTACCCCTCCCCTCACCACTCGCTCCGACCCCCTTACCTCCTTCGACCCTTGTCCTCCCTTCCGCCCGCTCCGCGTCGCCTCGTTCTTCTTCTCCTTCGCGTTCAGCCGTGCGGCGGCTCGAGCAAGTTGCATGCGCCTTCTGGTCGCCGGCGGCCTGATTTTCATATCGGCTGGGGGGCGGCAGGGCCCCGCCCCGCCTCCGCGTACACATGAGGTGTTGTTCTCAACACGCACATTGAATACATCAGGCGTTATCAAAGAAATAACAACAGCGTCGTTTGATAACATCGCGCGGCGCCGCGGCGGCGGTCGGTTCGCGTGATGCCAGCACGGCGGCCCCCGCGAGGCCAAGGCGGGCCGATGTGGTTCGTACGCAAATGCAACCACAACAGGAAAGGCAAATACCACGCCGGGAAAACGGGGACACAGCGAAAGTCACGCTGCGGCCGCGGGGATTTTTTTTATCGGATTTCACTGCCGTATAGTTAACCTGGCCTAACCTGAATGGTCGGAGCAGAGTGTGTATGACGCTCTCGTCACTGTGTCGGGAGCTGAAAGAGTCATCGGAGGCAGGAGGAAGAGGGCGATATAAATGGGGTTGAGGACAAAAACGCCCCGCGGTCGTAAATTTGGAGCGAGTGCATTGCAGCCGTGGAAGGTTTTGAATCTTAGATATTGCACGGGGCGATGGGCGTGAACCTCGCTGTCTTTCGATTCGTATCAATATGTAACGTATGGCGACCTGCGCAGGGACACACACTGAATGTAATTAATTGATTGCCGCGACGAGACGGGAGGGGTTCAGCGTGCGACTCGATCGATGCAGGAACACGCGGGCGGTGTGGAAGATTTCTTTAGCCCCACCTCCATTGGGGTTAAAATTTATTGGCCGTCTTTTGAGAAAGCAATGCGACATTGTGGCGCGGTGGTCTCCTTGCTCATGGGGAACAGAACGGCAATAGGAAACGCGAACGAGGTGCGGGCACCGTCTGCGAAAATGGACAGTCAGTACGAATTCTCTGCCGTGATCAGCGTCCCAAAATTGTCCAGTAACTCGACAGCTTACTCGAAGCCCCGTGTCATCGACACGACGCGATGTGGCGAAAGAGAAAGAGGCAGAGAGGGCGAGAGAGAGAGAGAGCGAGAGAGAGAGGCCACAACATTCCCCCCTGCCACATCCGCCGTCGTTAAAGTAATCCTGAAACAAACGCTATTTAATCGCCAGCCGCGGCTCGCGAGTGGAGCGGTGGGGGAAGTGCCGCCCCGCCCGGCCCCGCCCCGTGCGGCCCGCCCTGTGTAAACACGCCCTCAATTTGTGGCTCATTGATGTTTGATATCCCATTGAGCCCGTGAAAGCGATCGGGCCGCCCGGGCTGGCGCTGCTCGCGGTCGGGCCTCCCCTCTCGGTGGGCGGAGAGTGCTGCGCTCGGCGCGGCGGCGGCGGCTCCCGATTGGCCGGGCGGCCGGGCGGGCGCGCATGCGCGCAGGACCTCCCCCACCACCGGGCCGCGCCTCGCGGCCGCCGCGGCAGCTCCCCGCCGGCCAGTTGTCAAATGGGGCAACACGACGCAGGCCGTGTTTTACATTCATCAGTCGGCGCGCGGCCCGCTGTAGTGTTCACGTAGTGATGGTGTAGTGTAGTGTGTGTGATGGTGAACGTGCCGTGCCCCAACACCGCCCTGGCCAGCACCCTGGCACTCGCCGCCATGGCCCGGCCGGGGCCCATGGGCGCCCTGGGCCTCCACGGGGAGCCGGGCCGCAACCGGCCGGGGCCCGCCGCGCCCCTCAAGTCATCCTTCAGCATCAGCTCGATCCTGCCCGAGACCGCGAGAGTGTCGCCCGACCCGGCGGAGCGCACCGAGTCCGCCGACGAACCGCACCTGGACGAGGATGCTCCGTTGGATTGCAGCGCCCGGGCCGCGGCCCCCGAGGACGAGGAGGACGATGTCGATGACGAAGACGAGGATATTAATGTCGACGAGGACAAGCCCGGGGAGAACGGCGAGGAGGCCAGTGAAGCCACGGAGAAAGACGACAAGAAGGACGCTGAGAAGAAGAAGCACGAGAAGCCGTCGTACTCGTACAACGCCATGATCATGATGGCCATCCGGGATTCGCGTGACAAGCGCCTTACTCTCAACGGCATCTACGAGTACATCATGACCAACTTCCCGTACTATCGTGACAACAAGCAAGGCTGGCAGAACTCCATCCGCCACAACCTGTCGCTCAACAAGTGCTTCGTCAAGGTGCCCCGCCACTACGACGACCCCGGCAAGGGCAACTACTGGATGCTGGACCCCAGCGCGGAGGACGTCTTCATCGGGCAGTCGACGGGGAAGCTGCGGAGGAGGTCGACGGCCACGCGGAACCGCTTGACCGCGTTCGGCCGGTCCCTCGGGGGTCTCTATCAGGGCATGGCCGGGGTGCCGCCCGGCTACGCACCGTGGGCGCCGCTGTACTCCATGTACCCCCGCTACGCCCTCATGCCGCACGGCCCGCCCCCGCATGGTCCGCCGCCTGCGCCGCCCCCAAAGGTGACGCCTGCGCGGCCCACCCCCATCGCACCCACCGCCCCCCACGGATTCTCCATCGCGCGCCTGCTGGCCGGCGTGCCGCCGCCCGCCGCCCCTGGGCAGTGCGCCCCGGGGGTGCCGCCCCTTCTGCTGCCTGGCCTCGGACACGGGCCGCCCCCCGGCGCGCCCAGTGACTCGGCCATCAGCCTGTGGAACAGCGCCCTTCAGCTGCTGCAGCATCAGCACCAGCTGCACCAGCTGCAACAGCAGCCCCACTTCCACCACCACCAGCAGCACCACCCCCACATGCTGCCGGCGCGCCCGCCCTCCTCCAACTGCTCCAGCAGTCCGGAGCTGCGGGAGCTGGGCCGGCCTTCGCCACCCCCTAGTGGCGGCTCCGCCCTGGCCAACGCCCCCTCCCCTGCGCTCGGCCCCGCCTTCAAGCCCGTGGGCCTGCGGCCTGCGCCGAGGTAGTGTACGCCTGGTGCACCCCGGGGAGTGACGTGTGAAGTAAAGTGATATGTGTAAAGGGGTAGGTTTGAATTCATATCAAGGGTATGATATCACTAGTTATAATAATATTTGACCAAGATGCAAAGTGCCTGTTGTGGATAATATTGAGCTTGTAGCGACTTTCAATGTTTATAATTAGAAACTGTGAGCACGCCCCTAGAATTATGTCCCAGGCTGGATATCTGTGATACCATTTTTCTATTTTAAATATTTGTACGTTTGTAGTTAACAAAGAGATGTACACCCACGTTGTTTTCATATTTGACTTTTGAAGAATTGTGTAAGACATATTGTTCGTTTGTGCAAGTTCGGAAATATGTTTTTGAAACTTGAATGCGCAACTTAATTTTGCAAGTCGACGACGCACTTTTATCTCCACCAAATATTTTAATTGATATTTTAATTTTCAGACGTCAAATTTTGGGTGATTGCTCTTTATTGTTTTGTTATTGATATATTGTTCATAACTGCTTACTATTGTGTTAAAAAGACCAAAGATTTAAATTATTATCATTTTTATTATACATTTATTGAGCATTGTGTATTGAGATATGTTGTGATTGAATAAAAATAGATCACCTATTTCTGTAAAAAGTGTGCATATATTTCCTTTAGAACTCTGAATATATCTGAACAATAATTGATTAACCTATTACGAAATATGACCTCTTTCCAAAAATTCAAAGAATGAATAAACCTGAACAAAACGCACTATCTAAGTACTGGATGCACTTTGTTTAATGGAAACAACATCAGGCCTGCCGCAGGAAGAAGTCCGCAACCTGTTCACCTGGGCGGAGCTTTGTATTGTTGTGCAAAACATCAGCACAACAATCCTTTCCTTTTTGCATTTCTTTTTGCTAATGGCGTCAAAAGCAACCCGCTGCGAGCAGGGCCCAGGCTAAACGTGTCGCTGCGCTCTGAATTGCACGCACGTGATGCAAGAGAGGTGGAAGGAGACAGGGTTGGGAGGGGGGGGGGGGTTACTTATTAGGGCTAAGTAGTGGGCTGGGCTGTCTACATGAGAGAGAGGAGAGGGGGGGGAGAAAAAGAAATGATGGAGGAGGAGGGGGAGATAGCGCTTCAACTTACATCAGTATTCCTAACGCGTTGCTGGGCTGGGTAGCCGTTTCTGCCCCCGCTGCTGCACAGAGCTATACTACGAGTTGCAAGTCCATTTGTCACCCCTGTACGTCTCATTCAGCTGATTCACTGCGCCATTTTCTCGTCTTTGCGCATTTCTGAACAGTCGGGAGAAAATACTAATTTTCAAGTTGTGGCTCGAGATGGTAGGAGCAGACATTATCATCCTTGACTGCTCGCTCCTCTTTTTACTTGAGCAGAGAAAGTTATTTGTCGATATAACTCGCCGAGGTGCAAAAGGCGACCTGAGAGAGCCGCCGCCTGGATCTGTTTCGTTTTGCCGCGATAAGTTGGCAGCGTTCCTGACATGTGCGTGCAGCGAGAGAGAGAGAGAGAGAGAGAGAGAGAGAGAGAGAGAGAGCGCGCTCGCGTGTGTTTGTATGTTTGGTCGACATCTCTTAATACATACCGGGGCTGGCGCCGCCCCGCTGTTCGGTTCAATTAAACGCCTCCAAATATTGGTACTTGGATCAAACCCAATCTTGACTCGCGACAGGCTCGTAAATTCGCGGTTGTGGACCTCGTCCTTGAACACCTTTGCGCCCTCAGGTGCTCCGACGTGCGGGTCCCGGGTCCAACTCTGGACGAGATGAAAGGTAGTCAGGTGGAAACTCACCAGAGCTGCACCAGAAAAGCGTCGTGAACGGGGAAGAAAGAAGCGAGAAAAGTGCTGTGAATAAATGTTTTCCGGCCCGCGGATTTTCGAAGGGGCTCTCAGCAGCGCAGAGTGTTTGATTCGTTCGGCTGCGCCTGCCTGGCGGCTCGCTGCGCGGACCGAGCGCGGACGGAGGGGGGGGCGGCTGAGACCTGAGACCGGATTATTGCGAACGTGTCCATAAATTGGTTAGCCTACTCGCGTACATGTGTGTCTGTATAGAGGCAAAAGCCGGGCAAAGTCCGGCCGCGCCGTCTGCCCCTGCCCCGCTAGAGAGAACAGCCCGTGGGCCAGCCGCGTTCTGTTGAGTATGTGCATGCGTGACTGGCGGCTACTTGTAGAGCGCGCCCCGCCGCGCCCCGCCACGCCCCGCCACGCCCCGCCACGCCCCGCCACTTTGAGGCGCGAGCTCACGGCGCGGGCGCGACGCCACGCCGCAGCCATGCGTCTCCCTTACCCTGTCCAATCCAGCCTCACCTATTCACCTCCACACTCACCTCTTCAGCTTGCGTGGCGAGGCCGCAGCAGCGCCCGCTCGGCCACCAGTCTTTAGAATCCCTTTAGGAAGCGTTATAATTTTTGAGCCGAGAAGTTTTTGGGCCGTACCCGGTGTTACTCGCCGTGTTGGTGTGTTGGCGTGTGTGAAACACGCCGTGTAGAACAAATGGGGAACACGGACCGGCTCGCTTTTTATTGAAAACACGGGGCCGCCCGGCCTGCTCGGGCAATCACGGTTCTCCTTTCTTTTTTGTGTTCTCTCTCTCTCTCTCTC